CCTGACCAGACGCAGGAGGAGGAGACGGAACAGTGAGTGTGTACAGGCTCGACCTCGGCCCACGTGTGAACGTGGTCAAGTGTCGACCCGTGTCCGCGTCCGTGCAGTGGGTGTCCCGTCGGCGTGCAGGGGTGAACTGGTCAACCCCTGCATCCTGTAGGTCAGCACCCGCCACCAAGTTCGTAGAGAACGAGGGGAGGTAAAGACCGGACAGGGAGCCAGACGGGACCGCAGGGCACGGAAGGACAGTGGAGTAGCGAGCCAGAACAGGACCCCCAGAGGGGTCGGCCAGGGAGACTGCCACAGGCCGACTAAGCGGCGTGAGTGTGGTGCGGTCTCGAAAAAAGGAGCGAGACGCTCCTGAGTCAAGAGTGAAGGTAAGAGAGGGGGGAGCCGACGCTGTACCTGAGAGAGCAGACTCACCAGCACCTGGGGACACAGACTCACTGGCACCTAGAGCAGCAGCCGCAACACCACCTAGAGCCGCAGTCTCAACAGCACCTGGAGCAGCAGCCTCAACAGCACCTGGAGCCGCAGTACCAATGCCCGGGTCGGGCGGGAAACACCGGTAACAGTCACCCTCCTCACTAATGGTCACAGCATACATGGCACGAAGAATAGCATCAAAGTCAAGATCAAAGATAGCTACTCCTGCATTAGATAGCTGGTCCCAGCGAGGGATCTCAGAGGCATCAGGAAACTGGCGGCGCCAAGCGTCAGTCAGGCGGCCGAAGCAGCGCTGGGCGGAGTGTGGACCACCACACGGCTCACCCGCACGGTCGCCAGTGCGCAGGACGTAGGTGCACGGACCAGGACCCCCACCCCTCTGACGTGCAGCGTACCACTCACGGAGCTGCTGCGGGGAGAGGGTCTCCTGACCACGCTGCTGCTGCTGGCGCTGACCATCACCGGAGCCACTCCTCCGCGACGAGCCACGACCTCTGCCGCCTCCTCCGCCGCCTCCCCCGCCGCCGCCGCCACCACCTCCGCTGCCACCGCCACCCCCACCGTCGCTGCCGCCACCACCGCCTCCGCCTCCACTCCCACCACCACCGCCGCTGCCTCCCCCGCCTCCACGTCCGCCGCTGACACCTCCACTCCCGCCACCACTCCCGCTACCACCCTCACCTCCTCCGCTGCCTCCACCGCCGCCTCCACCGCCCGCGCCGCCTCCCCCACCGCCCCTGCCCCCCTTGCCCTTGCCAGAGCGACGTCTCCCGCTGGGGGCAGACGCCGCACCGACCGACTCAAAACCAACGAGGCCGGCCGTGGCAGCAGAGGCGACAGAGGGCAGGAGGGGGGAGGGGGAACACCCCTCAAAGATGGGGGTGCGCGGGTCACCACGAGAGGCCCCTACAGCGAGAATGCTCTTCTCGGCTGCTAGGAGGGACTTCTCGAGGAGCTCAACAGTGAGGGTGGTGGGGCAGACTGAGAGTAAGTCGTCCCTGACTCCGCGAAGGGAGTCAGGGAGGCGGGTGACAATGTAGTAGAGAGTGAAGTACTGGGGGGGGGGGGGTTCTTGGTGCAGAACTCAGCAGGAAGTGCAGCGCGGAAGCGAGCGTCACTAGTGCGCAGGTGGGTAATGAGGTCGGCGACTGTGGCAAAAGCAGCAAGGTCGGGAAAGAGGTACGGTAGCATGAGGCGGCTCAGTGCAACAGTGGCAGGGGTGGAGTAGCGTGCAATAACGGCGTCGTACAAGGTCTTAGCACTCTTGTACGACCCAAAGTGTGCACGCTCAGAGGGAGGGAGGTGGCGACGCACAGCAAGACGTGCAGCAGCATCGCGTGTGGCCCACTGTGAGCGAACAGTGGCATCCTCAGTAGCAGCAGGGGCGGGAGAGGCACCAGAAGTGAGATCAAAGAGAGAGAGGCCGTCAGCTCTGTCGCACTGTAGGAAAAGCAGTAGGTCGTCTACCCACACGTCAAAGTCGATGGCTCTGCCCTCAGCGTCAAAGGTGAGCACACTGGGGGTAGCCATGACAGCAGTAGGGTGAGGGCAGTGCGCAGAGTAAAGCTCAGTGCTCACCAGACAGGGCGGTGCAGGCGGCTCGGGCGGCTCGGGCGGCTCGGCGGCTCGGCTGCTGGGCGGCTCGGGCGGCTCGGCGGCTCGGGCAGCTCGGGCGGCACGGCTGCTGGGGCGGCTCGGCTGCTGGGGCGGCTCGGCTGCAGGGGCGGCTCGTCTACTGGGGCGGCTCGGCAGCTACGGCGGCTCGGCTGCTGGGGCGGCTTGGCCGCTGGGACGGCTCGGCTGCTGGGGCGGCGGGGCCGGGAGATGAGGAGGCGGGGCCGGCAGGTGCAGCAGCGGGGCCGGAAGGTGCAGCAGCGGGGCCGGCAGGGGTAGCGGCGGGGCCGGTAGGTGCAGTGGCGGGGCCGTCAGAGGGGACGGTGGGGCCGTCAGGTGCAGTGGCGGGGCCGTCAGAGGGGACGGCGGGGCCGTCAGGTGCAGCGGCGGGGCCGTCTGAAGCAGCGGCGGGGCCGGCAGAGGGGACGGCGGGGCCGTCGGGTGCAGCGGCGGGGCCGGCAGAGGGGACGGCGGGGCCGTCAGAGGGGACGGCGGGGCCGTCAGGTGCAGCGGCGGGGCCGTCTGAAGCAGCGGCGGGGCCGGCAGAGGGGACAGCGGGGCCGTCGGGTGCAGCGGCGGGGCAGGTAGAGGGGACGGCGGGGCCGTTAAGCGCAGCGAAGGGGCCGATAGGGGGGACGGCGGGGCCGTCGCAGGCGATCGTGGGGCCGCCAAAGGGGACGGCGGGGTCGCGAGGGTCAGAGGGGGGCGGCGCGCGACGCGACGCGGCCGTCTAGGGGCGGCGCGACGAGGCCGCGGAAGTGGCGCGCAAAAAAAAAAAGGCGGGCGGCTCGACGCGATCGGGCCGCCAAAGGGAAAAAAAAGGGCCCAGCGCGACTCGGGCTAGGGCAGAGCGCGCTCCGGGCAGGACGAAATAGTGGGTGGGCCCTAGGAACAGTTCCCACTAGGGAACCTGCTCGATACCATGTTGAGATAGAGGCAAGGAATGATACACTATGAAATGAAACAAGTACAAGTACCAACCCTAATTGGGTTGTACCCCCTATGGGCTACCCCACTACAGCCTAAATATATGTATCAGCAATATAATCATCTGACATGAACAAACAAACAGCACTGACTACAGCGCCAGTGCTCATCCTACCGGATCCAGACAGAAACTACGTGGTGGAAGCAGACGCTAGTGACCAAGCAGTCGGAGCAGTACTGATGCAGCATCATGAACGCAGTTTGCAGCCCATCGCCTACCTCAGTAAGGAGCTGTTACAGTGGGAGAAAGACTTAGCGGTAAGGAAGGGTTCAGGAAAGATTTGGGTACCGAATTACGCCCCGCTACGGAAGATCCTATTGGAGGAGTTTCACGACGTACCTTACGCGGGACATTTCGGGAGCAACAAGACATTAGCGGGAATAGCAAAGTATTACTACTGGCCCGGGAGGGCAGCAGACATGCAGCAGTTCGTCACCTCTTGCGACACGTGCCAGCGGATGAAGAGCAGCAAGCAGAAAAAAGCGGGTTTACTTTAACCTCTAACCGTACCGGAGCAGCCATGGCAGGTCGATAGTCTCGACTTTATCACACGACTTCCTTCGACCTCACGGGGGCACGATTCCATCCTCGTAGTAATCGATAAGTTCTCCAAAATGGGTCACTTCATACCAACCAACGCCACGGCAACAGCTGAAGCAACTGCTCGCCTCTTCTTCAACCACATCATCACCATCCACGGCATCCCCGCTACACTCATCTCAGACAGAGACCCAAAATTCACCAGTAAGTTCTGGAAGGAGCTCATGGGACTGTTGGGGACAAAGCTTGCAATGTCTTCAGCATACCACCCCCACACTGAAGGACAGACAGAGCGACTCAATCAAGTGGGTGAACAGTTACTGCGCACAGCTTGCAAGGATGACGTCAGCCACTGGGACACACAATTACCGACCCTAGAGTTCGCTTACAACAACGCCTCACATGCGGCCACAGGGAAAACTCCTTTCTTCCTGTGTTATGGACGGGAACCATTTACTCCACAGCAGCCTACCACACCGGCACACGTCCAAGCCGCACATGACTTCGTCACCACCATGCAACAGCTATGGGAGAAGACTGAGCGACAGCTCACCACGATGCAGACCTCCCAGAAGCAGTATGCCGATCGTCAGCGACGTGATCACTAAGTAGCAGTCGGAGATCAGGTGCTTCTTGACACGCGCAACTTGAACCTGTCTCACCTCCCATCCAAACTCCGGCCTCGCTTCTGTGGTCCTTTTCTCGTTGAGGCACATGTGACACCAGTAACATTCCGCTTGCGCTTATCAGATACATGGAAGCTTCACAACACTTTCCATGTCCAGCTACTGAAACTCTACAAGGACCCCAACCAACAGTTCCAGGGACGGCAGCTACCGCCACCACCACCTGTTCTCATACAGGATGAACCCGAGTACGAGATCGAGTGCGTTCTCTCTCATCGGCGCCGTGGCGGCAAGGCCCTCGAGTTCCTGATACGCTGGAAGGGATACGACCCTACTGAGGATAGTTGGGTTGCAGAAGCTGATATGGGCAACGCACGCCGTGCTCTCAAGGACTGTCTTGTCAAGCAGGGTGTATCTCACACCACCCAGCTTTGAGGGGGGGACGTGTGAGGGTACGACGGCTTATGCCAGCTATGCTTGCTTGCCTTTACTTTATTATGCCATTTCTAGCATAGGATAATTATATGCATGCATGAATTGCTTGATTTCCTAGGCTAGGTGCTTTCCTATATTTTATTATAGATATAGCACCGAGCTAGGTTGCGTGCACCGAATTCTGGCTTTTCGGTTGCCACCGAATTGCCTTCTACCGAATTCAAGAAGGATCTGTTCGGGACGCTTCGCGACCCGCGGAACCTTCGCGTAACACCTGGTTACGGGGCCTTGTGTCGAGCCTATATATAGCCTCGTGTTGTACCCAGGTGATTCATTCAGTTCGATTCAACTCACATTCCCTTTTTTGAGCTCGATCCTAGATCCTCACAGCCGCCTCCTCCGCCTCCACTGCTGCCACCGACACCTCCACCCCCGCCACCACTCCCACCACCACCCCCACCCCCTCCAGTGCCTCCACCACCACCTCCACCGCCCCCACTAGCTCCCCAAGCGCCCTTGTCCCCCTTGCCCTTGCCGGTGCGGCGTTTCCCGCTAGGGGCAGACGCAGCGCCGACCGACTCGAAGCCAACGAGGTCGGCCGAAGCAGTAGAAGCAACAGAGGGCAAGAGGGGAGAGGGAGAACACCCCTCAAAGACGGGGGTGCGAGGGTCACCACGAGAGGCTCCTACAACGACTATGCTCTTCTCTGCTGCTAGGAGGCGCTCCTCGAGGAGGTCAACGGTGAGTGTGGTGGGGCAAACCGAGAGGAAGTGTTCCCTGACTAAGCGAAGGGAGTCAGGGAGCTGGGTGACTATGTAGTAGAGGGTGATGTACATGGGGGGGGGGGGTTATTGGCACAGAATTTAGCAAGAAGCGCAGCGCAGTAGCGAGTGTCGCTAGTGCGAAGGTGCGTAATGAGGTCAGCGACTGTGGGAAAGGCAGCAAGGTCAGGGAACAGGTACGGTAGCATGAGGCGGCTAAGCGCAGCAGTGGCAGGGGAAGAGTAGCGTGCAACTACAGCGTCATACAAGGTCTTAGCACTCTTGTACTGGCTAAAGTGCGTTCGCTCAGTGGTCGGTAAGTGGCGACGCACAGCAAGACGTGCAGCAGCATCGCGCGTGGCCCACTGTGAGCGAACAGTGCTGTCAGCAGTAGCAGGCGGGGCAGGAGAGACACCAGACGTGAGATCGAACAGGGAGAGTCCGTCTGCCCTATCGCACTGTAAGAACAGCTGGAGGTCATCGACCCAGACCTCAAAGTCAACAGCACGACCCTCAGTATCAAAGGTAAGGACACTGGGGGTAGCCATGACTGCAGTGGTCTAGCAGGGAGTGAGCTCACCAGTCCAAGGATGTAGGGCCGGGGCCCGCCGGACGGAACAGTGGCGGCTCGGCGGCAGGGCGGCTCGGCGGCTCGGCTGCTGGGCGGCACGGCGGCTCGGCGGCTCGGCGAGTGGGCGGCTCGGCTGCAGGGCGGCTCACCGGCTGGGCGGCTTGGCGGCTCGGCTGCTGGGCGGTTCGGCGGCTCGACTACTGGGCGGCTCGGCGGCTTGGCGGCTCGGCTGCTGGGCGGCTCGGCGGTTCGGCTGTCGGGCGCCTCGGCTGCTGGGCTGCTGGCGGCGTGGTGGCTCGGCTGCTCAGCTGCTGGGCGGCTCAACGGTGAAGGGGCCGGTAGAGGTGGCGATGGGGCCGTGAAGAGCGGCGACGGGGCCACTAGGGGCGGCTGCGGGGCCGCTAGGGTCGGCGACGGGGCCGCTAGGGGCGGCTGCGGGGCCGCTAGGGTCGGCGACGGGGCCGTTAGGGCGGCGACGGGGCTGGTAGGGCGGCGACGGGGCCGGTAGGGCAGCGACGGGGCCGCTAAGGGCGGCGAGGTGGCCGCGAAGGGCAGCGACGGGGCCTCCAGGGGCGGCGACGGGGCCGCTAGGGGCGGCGAGTGGGTCGCAGAGGGGCTGTGAGGGGCCTAGAGGAGGCGACGACGGGGCCGCAAGGTGCGGCTACGGGGCCGCAAGGGACGGCGACGGGGCCGCGAAGGGGCCGCGAGGGGCCTGGAGAGGCGGCGACGGGGCCTAGAGAGGCGGCAACGGGGCCGCGAAGGGGCCGCGAGGGGCCTAGAGGGGCGGCGACGGGGCCGCTAGGGGCGGCAACGGGGCCGCAATGGGCCGCGACGGGCCTAGAGGGGCGACGACGGGGCCGTGAGAGGGGCCGTGAGGGGCCGCAAAAGGGGCCGATAGGGGCCAGAGGAGGGCGCGACGGGCCGCTAAGGGCTAGGGACGCGACGGGAGGGAGGGCACACGGGGCGCGACTCGGGGAGGAGAGAAGCGCGCTCCGGGCAGGAAAAAAACATTTCAGTGGTGGGCCCTTAGGAAACGTTCCCACTAGGGAACCTTCTCTATACCATGTGAGAAATGAGGAATGAATGCATTGAGCAGCTTGAGGAGTACAAGTAGGAAACCCTAATGTGTTGTACCCCATATGATCTACCCCACTACAACCTACACAGACTATAGCATATAAGTTTGACAACACGGGCTACTTAGCATTGGTTATGGCAGCAGCAGAGGAGGAGAAGCCGAGTTTGGAGCTACCTGTAGCAGTGAAGGAGGTCTTGGAGCAGTACAAGGATATAATGCCCGACGACCTACCCGCAGGCATACCTCCAGCACGCACCCATGAGTACGAAATCGTGGAGGAACCAGGTGCGAAACCCGTCTCCCGTGCACCATACCGACTGAGTCCGACCGAGCTAACAGACATGAAGAAAGAGATAGAGTATCTACTGGACAGACAACTGATCCGCCCATCCACCTCTCCCTATGGTGCACCAGTCCTCTTCACTCCAAAACCAGATGGCAGTTTACGGATGTGCATCGACTACCGCGCACTAAACAAACAGACAGTCAAAAACAAATACCCCATACTGCGCATAGACGACCTACTCGACCAACTGCGTGGTGCAACACTCTTTTCAAAGCTGGACCTACGGTCGGGTTATTGGCAGATCAAGATGGCGGACAACTCGATCCACAAGACGGCGTTCCGTACCAGATACGGCTCCTACAAATACTTGGTGATGCCGTTCGGACTCTGCAACGCACCAGCAACGTTCCAGGCGGAAATGAACCATATCTTACGGCCCGTGCTGGACGAGTGCGTAGTGGTGTACCTGGACGACATTCTAATCTACTCCAAGAACATGAAGGAGAACGTGGAGCATCCATGGAAGGTCTTCGAGATCCTACGGAACAACAAGTTCTACGTGAAGCTGTCGAAGAGCGACTTTGCCCTTAAGAAGGTGCAGTTTCTCGGGCACATGGTGAGTGTCAAGGGCGTACACGTGGACCCGCGGAAAATCGAAGCCGTCAAGAAATGGAAAGTACCGGAGAACGTGAAGGAGTTGCAGCAGTTCCTAGGCTTCGCCAACTACTACAACAGGTTCGTGCCGTAGTACGCTAAGATAGCAGCGCCACTGACCGACCTACTGAAAAAGGATACGCCCTACAAGTGGAATACTCCTCATCAGAAAGCCATGGAGCAGCTACAGACAGCACTGACTACAGCGCCAGTACTCATCTTGCTGGATCCAGACAAGGACTACGTGGTGGAAGCAGACGCTCGTGATCAAGCAGTCGGAGCAGTACTGATGCAGGATCACGGACGCGGTTTGCAGCCCATCGCTTATCGCAGTAAAAAGCTACACGGAGCAGAGCTGAACTACCCCATCCACGACAAGGAAGCCTTAGCTATAGTCGTAACCTTCAAGGCAAGGAGGTGTTACCTAGAGGGAGCCAAGAGTACAGTCTATACTGACCACTGCAGTCTCAAATACCTGAAGTCGCAGCCGACGCTCTCACGACGAGAGGTGCGGTGGGTGGACTTCCTGGAAACTCACTTCCACTACGACATCGTCTACAAGCCCAGGCTACACAACAAAGCAGATGCGTTGAGCCGCCCCGGACATGTAGCAGGCATCGAGCTCGACGGGATGAACCCTGTACTCAAGGGTCTATTCCAACATGGGTACTCCGTGGACGCAGAGATCACTACAGCACAGACCAAGAAGTTGTTACAGTGGGAGAAAGACTTAGGTGTAAGGAAGGGTTCAGGAAAGATTTGGGTACCGAATTACGCCCCGCTACGGCAGATCCTATTGGAGGAGTTTCACGACGTACCTTATGCGGGACATTTCGGGAGCAACAAGACGTTAGCAGGGATAGCGAAGTATTACTACTGGCCCGGGATGGCAGTAGACGTGCAATAGTTCGTCACCTCTTGCCACGTGCCCGTGGATGAAGAGCAGCAAGCGGAAAAAAGCAGGGTTACTTCAGCCTCTACCCGTATCGGAGCAGCCATGGCAAGTCATTAGCCTTGATTTCATCACAGGACATCCTTCGACCTCACGGGGGCACGATTCCCTCCTCGTAGTGATCAATAAGTTCTCCAAAATGGGTCACTTCATACCAACCAACACCACAGCTACAGCTGAAGCAACTGCTCGCCTCTTCTTCAACCGCATCATCACCATCCACGGCATCCCCGCTACACTCATCTCAGACAGAGACCCCAAATTCTGGAAGGAGCTCATGGGATTATTGGGGACCAAGCTTGCAATGTCCTCAGCATACCACCCTCAGACTGACGGACAGACAGAGCGACTCAATCAAGTGGTTTAACAGTTACTGCGCACAGCTTGCAAGGACGACGTCAGCCACTGGGACTCACAGTTACCGACCCTAGAGTTCGCTTACAACAACGCATCACATGCGGCCACAGGGAAAGCTCCTTTCTTCCTGTGTTACGGACAGGAACCACTCACACCATAGCAGCCTACCACACCGGCACACGTCCAAGCCGCACATGACTTCGTCATGACCATGCAGCAGCTATGGGAGAAGACCCAACGACGACTCACCATGATGCAAACCTCCCAGAAGCAGTATGCCGATCGTCAGCGACGTGATCACTCAGTAGCAGTCGGAGATCAGGTGCTTCTTGACACGTGCAAGTTGAACCTGTCTCACCTCCCATCCAAACTCCGGCCTCGCTTCTGTGGTCCTTTTCTCGTTGAGGCACAGGTGACACCAGTTACATTCCGCTTGCGCTTACCAGATACATGGAAGCTTCACAGCGCTTTCCATGTCCAGCTACTGAAGCCCTACAAGGACCCCAACCAACAGTTCCAGGGACGGCAGCTACGGCCATCACCACCTGTTCTCATACAGGATGAACCCGAGTACGAAGTGGAGCGCGTTCTCACTCATCGGCGCCGCGGCGGCAAGACCCTCGAGTTCCTGATACGCTGGAAGGGATACGACCCCACTGAGGACAGTTGGGTTGCAAAAGCTGATATGGGCAACACACGCCGTGCTCTCAAGGACTATCTTGTCAAGCAGGGTGTATCTCACGCCACCCAGCTTTGGGGGGGGGACGTGTGAGAGTACGACGGCTTATGCCAGCTATGCTTGCTTGCCTTTACTTTATCATGCTATTTCTAGCATAGGATAATTATATGCATGCATGAATTGCTTGATTTCCTAGGCTAGGTGCTTTCCTATATTTTATTTTACTCATAGCACCGAGCTAGGTTGCGTGCACCGAATTCTGGCTTTTCGGTTGCCACCGAATTGCTTTCTACCGAATTCGGGAAGGATCTGTTCGGGACGCTTCGGGACGCGCGGAACCTTCGCGTAACACCTGGTTACGGGGCCTTGTGTCGAACCTATATATAGCCTCGTGTTGTACCCAGGTGATCATTCAATTCAAACTCTCTTTTCTGAGCTCGATCCTAGATCCTCGCATAGACCACCTCGAGGAGTAGTGGCTGCTGCTGCTCCGAGTAGATGTAGATGGTCTTGCTTACTGGATCATATGGTTCATCAAATGTATCATCCCTAGGTCCTCTACTCGAAGTTGCTCACTCTATATCAGGTTTCAACTGAGTAGGGTTTGAAGGATTTATCCAAGGCTGGTACAACTTCTCCTGGGCCTGGAACTTTCCCCTAAGCCTTTGCAGCTGTGTAGGCTTCACCTGTGGGTAATGGCGTGGAGCCTTTAAACAGTGCTGCTGGGAGAGAATATTAAATGCTCAGAACGCTCGACCCTTATCAATGCTCCGGAGTAGGGTTCCCATATTACCCGATACCAGTTCGATTTCTGACTCTCCCTTAATAAAGTCTTGAAACCCACGAGAAGTACTATTCTTACTTGTCGGGGTGTACGCTGGAGTCTCCAGTTGGTGCAGGGTCTTGTTTCGCGGATCCTCCTTTCGTCGGTGCAGCGTAACTTGCCTGCGGAAGGAGCTCAGTGGGTGGCT